CCTCCCTCCCTCCCTCCCTCCCTCCCTCCCTCCCTCCCTCATACCCCACCCTTCACTGTGTGTCCGGAATATATCCAATCGATTATCACATGTGACTGCGCTGGCAGACACAGCGACCAGACCTCCTGAGTTGATGACCCCCGAGCCCCGCAGAGAGTCAGGAGGACAGCATGTGGGCGGGCTTGGAGGAGGGTTCTGGATCTATGATCTGGTGATGGCTCTGTGCCTGGCTTCTGTGCATAGCTTCTCAATGCCATTCCCCTCTCCAGGACTCAGTTTTCCTGAGCTGAAGTAGAGGATTCCTGGTGCCATTTAGTACAGGGAAGTCACCAACATCCCATCTCCGCTGGGCTGGGGCTTCTGTGTGCCCAGGATTCATGAGGTGCAAGGGATAGCTTGCCATGCCTGTTCCTGCCCACGGCTAGTGCCTGGGTGTTGACCTCACAGTGGCCTTTGACCCTGTGGACAAGGTAGTCCTCTGGAGGGTCCCCTGCATGGCTCTGTTCAAGGGATGATGACCCCCAAATTCTTACCACTCTCTTCCTTTCCCTGGCCTGGGATTCTGCCGTTACCCAGGGTGTGAGAGGGATGATGGGCACTGTTAGGCCCCCAGGATTTGGGGGTGAATTAGGGGGAGGCTTTCTTTGAAGGTGTATGTTGAGGAGATCCATTAATTTACTTGGTAGGGAGCGGACATGGGAGGTCCCTAGTATCCAGCCAGGCTGTCTGTCAGGGGCTGCGGCCTGGACTTCCTCTGGGACCAGCAGACTGCTGCTCCAGCCTCAGCACATGCCGGTCCCTTTGGAGTGCCTGCTCTCACCACACGCACCCTTCTCCAGCACAGTCTGGCCTGCCTGAGGTTCCCTTCTCTCTCACCAGTTAGCCATGGTCCCCAACCCTCAGCCCCACGACTCCTGTCAGGGCCACCGCTTGGCTATTGATCTTTCTCCTGACACCTCCTCGCAGGCTGTGGATGCCGTGGAGCCTGGCATTGGCCCGAGGGAGACCAGGGATGAAAGGATTTGATTCCTGGAGGAAGAGTGGGCAGAGGGTGGGCGTGGAAGACTGGAGCCAGGCTGGGGCCGCAGCTGCCCGTGACCTGCAGCTTTGACGCTTGCTCTCTGTCCTCAGTCAACCACGAGCTGGTACGGAAGGCCAGCCGGAAGGACCATCTGGTGGTGCACAGCAGTATGGAGCGTGACGTGGGCCTGCTGCGCCTTTACCCTGGGATTCCCGCCACCCTGGTAGGGAAACCGGAGAACCCGCTGCCCTCCAGTGCCCTCCATAGCTCCCATGCGCTCATGCCTCCTGGGGCTCCCTGGGGCTATAGACTCACTCCCTCTGTCCTGGGCCTTTCTCAGGCCAAGGTCTGCAAACCATGACAGCCTACCCATTTGGGCACCTTTCTATCTCAGCTGGGCTCGGCTCTTCCCGGGCTGAAGTCTAGCCTGCTTGAAGGTGCAGGGTGAGCTGAGCACCTGAGCCGAATGTGGGCTTGTTTGTGTGGACCCTCGAGGATGCTTGTGGACACCTGTGCGAGTGGCCTCAGGACTCTGCTTTCTACTGTTCCTGTTTTCTTGTTGGCTGGAGTCTTAGCATGTAGCCCAGGCTGGCCCATTGTGCTCCTCCCGCCTCACCCCCTGCTGGATCTGCACCTCTTCTTGTCATGCTTTTGGCCCTCCCTTGCTTCCTATCATCAGCTGCTCGGTATCGGCTGCTCCTGTGGTGACTGGTGCCTCCCTTACCTGTTATACAAGATGCTGGGTGGACAGGAAACTGTCCTCTGTCCTTTGAATGGAGTTGTCCAGCCTGGGGGAGTCTGGGCAGGGCCCTGTCTGAGGACCTCCAACTGTCAGGAGCCCTGGCCCTCCAGGCTAACACTGGAGGGGGAGGGGAATATCAAGGCTCAGCTCTCCCGATAGGCAAAGAGAGCCAGGCTGCCCTTAGAGGGCAGTCGGACAGTTGGGAAGCCAGGGCAAGCCCTGCTGCTCTTGCCAGCTAGAGCTCCCCAACCTGTGTCCTACCTACACAGGTCCGGACCTTCCTGCAGCCCCCACTGAAGGGTGTGGTCATGGAGACCTTCGGCTCTGGGAATGGGCCCACCAAGCCAGACCTGCTGCAGGAGCTGCGGGTGGCATCTGAACAAGGCCTGGTCATTGTCAACTGTACCCATTGCCTTCAGGGGGCTGTGACTTCGGACTATGCCTCTGGCGTGGTAGGGGAAGAGAATGGGTCTGGGGAAAGGCAGTGTGATGGTATGTGTGTCTGGATCCTGCCCTTCCTTAGCCAGGGGAGGTCCCTGAACCAGCCTCCTTCTCTGGCCTGTTTGTCCCCTCCCACAGGCCATGGCAGGAGCTGGCATTGTCTCAGGCTTCGACATGACGTCGGAAGCTGCCCTGGCCAAACTATCCTATGTGCTGGGCCAGCCAGGGTTGAGCCTGGATGACCGGAAGAAGGTGTGTACACCCTTGGCACGATTACAGGGTCTTAGAGCACTTCTGGGAAGGCCAGAAGGGGTATTTGCATCTATGTTTTGGAAGTGGAAGGGGAATTCCCTGTGGGAAGACAGGGCCAATGCTGACCCAGTTCATCCAGGCTACACCCTTATCATTCTCTGGGGAGCACTGTGACCCCCCACCCCTCTTCACTGCTCCTGACACCCTGTCCTGCTTCCTCTTTCCCAGGGGGCACTCAGACTCACAGGGCTCCAGGCCCATAGGCTGCCAGACCCTGGTTGAGGCCTTAGAAAACCCTGAGCTTGTCGGGAGGGAGGGCAGCATTAGCCTTCTTCGGGGATTGGTGGGGTCACACTGAGCTCCTGTATGGGTGGGACACTGACGTGGTGTGGCAGCCCTGTGGCAGGCGCATCTCCCTGCCCTGGGATCCAGGTTCTCTCAGCTGGTCAGGACTCCCTGGTCCAGTGCTGCCTAAGCCCATCAGCGTCATGTCCTGTTCTAGCTGCTGGCCAAGAATCTTCGTGGGGAGATGACGCTGCCCGTAACCGAGGAACACCAGTCCTCGCCGCAAGATGGCATGTTGGGCTGCAGGGTATCGTGGCTTCTCAGTCTGAATGGCGGCCAGGTACTGGCTGTCGTGTGTGGGAGGGGCAGGGCCCGAACACCCTCGTGGGATGGCGGGACCCACCGTCTCCTGCCACTGTCGCTCTGGCACAGGAGAAGGGCCAGGAGGAAGGTGTGGGGTGGATGGTGAGGAGGGATCGTAGGTAGAGTTGGGGAAGGGACCTGTCTGTTGTGTGGGGATACAAGAACTGGGGGAAACCAGCAGGGCCATGTCAGTCCTGGCTTGGACCTTGGACTGAGGCAAGCCTAAGCAAGGTAGGGATGCTATCTGTCCTGGGTGTTGAATAGTCAGGGGTGACTGGGGTCTCTTCAAGACTTTGAGCTGGGGGTTCTAGGCTCCACGCCTGCACCTTGGAATGTGGTCTGATCCCCCTTCCCCCTGCCCTCAGTACTTGAGTGTTTAGACCCTGGAGGGGGTGGGGCAGCTGAGGACCCAGGAGCCCAATGCATGGCCCCAGCAAAGCTGCCTTATGAGCCAGCTGGTTAATGGCTCCATGCTGGCTGTGGGCGGTGACCTGTCATTAGGGTGGCTCTGTGAGGTTCCTAATCCCTCTAGGGCCCAGCTGACCAGAAGCTGATCACAAGGCTGTGATTAACCCAGCCATGGACGCTGGACAAAGTGGCACTTTGAAGGCCTTCTGGGGCCTTGGAGAGCCCCTGGGCAGCTGAGCGCTAGGGCGGTAGCCCTTCCAGGATGTTACACCTGTGCACTCAAGCCCTTTGGGGGGGTGTATGGGAGTGGGGGGCTGCCCCATTTCCCATGCTCCCTCATGAATGACTTGACTATCATCCTGTCAGCAGTGGAGGCAGAAAATGAAACAGATTTGAGGAGCCAGCGGCAGGTCTCATAGATAGGAGATGGAGGGAACCAGGTGGAGCCTGGCGACCTGGTCATTGTCTCCAGGGCATGGACACAGGTGGGCTTGTGGGTGGGCATGACGCTCCTGCCAGAGCCCTCCAGTGGGGCGTTTCCTGGCGCTTTCCTCATGTAGTGAGGCCACCGGCCCCACTGTGTGGGGAAATGGGGTTCACATAGTCAGGGGACCGCTGGTGCTGTCTGTTCTCACCCTGTCAATACTCAGGGCCTCGGAGCATGGCAGCGGCCCATGTTGCCATTGCCTTCCCATTAGGAGGTTGATGCCATGCAGGATGTCCTCATGTCCAGCCTGGCCCTGGCTGCAGCTCACGCTGGTGACCTAGACACTCTGCAGGCCTTTGTGGAGCAGGTGAGTTCCCCCACTGAGGGGCAAAACTAGCAGGTGGGGCATTGCTCACGTGGGCAGAACGCTCTCCCCAGGGCCTCGCTGACTCTCCTGAGCCACACTGGGCAGTGGGCTCACACACCAGCCTGAGGGCCTCGCTGGAAGCGGGTGGGGTGGGTCTATAAACCCCACTTTCATCCTTCCCAGTCCTCTGTGTGGCCCACCTGACCTTGCCTAGCCCTTGTTTTGGGATTGTGTGCTCTTGTGTCCCCCTAGGGCAGAGACCTCAACCTGAAGGACTGTAGTGGTCAGACCCCACTGCACGTGGCTGCACGGAGGGGCCATGCCTCCGTGGTCACTATGCTGCTGCAGAAGGGTGTGGATGTGAATGCCCACAATGAAGATGGCCATAGCCCACTCCTGCTGGCCGTGAGGGGCAGGTACTGAGGGCCTGGGCACTGCAGGTGGTATGTGGGCAGGGTAGCTGGAGAGAAGATACTTGTTTGGTGTGAGCAAAGATCAGCTGGGGCATGAACAGGGCCGGTGAGGGAGGCCTATTTCTGTGGAGCAATCTGGAAGGACTTCATGGAGGAGACGGCCGCAAGATGCTAGCAGCGTCTTGGAAAGCATACCACTGACAAAGTATGAGGAGCTCCTGGGGACCCCCACTCATCCATGTGTGCCAAGATCTGGCAGAGAAAGAGCTAGCAGAGGGGCAGTGACAGGCGCAGGGGTCCTGTGGGGAGGGTCCCTGACTGGCTCTCACGCCGTATGGAAGGACGATCCTGCATGATTGGGAATGCCGCCCACTCACCCATCCTCTCCGGTTAGTTCTGCCTGACTGTCTCAGGCAGGACAAGCCCTGCCCTGGAAATGCTAAGAGAGTGGGTGTCTGCGCATTACCCAACTGCCGGTGAGGGAAAGGAGACAGCCGGGGCCCTGGGGGTGTCCTCACGCCTGCTAGCTTCTCCAGACTCGTGCAGGACGGCGAAGCCTCACTGTGTGGCCCGACGGGTGTCCCTATCTAGAGCTGAGAGCAGCACCAGGTGCAGAGGGCATGCGTGGAGTGCCGGGTGCCTCCTCCCGGGACCTCCGCTGCCTGTACATGTGGAGGCGGCTTGGCGTGCCGTGGCAGTGGGACAGACCGGCCCGCCAGAGTCGTCTCCCCCAGATCAGCTTCTCCTGGGTGTCTCGAAACACACAGCCTGCAGACCCTGGGATGCTAGGGGAGGGAGGGTGTCTTTGAGCTGCTCAGGGCTATCAGAGGGCAGTGTGCAGTCCTGGCCCCTCCCTGGTGGGACCCCTGGGTGGGGGTGTGAGGCTGAGCCTTTTTTTTTTTGCAGAGCAGGTCTGGCAGGCTCTGTGCCTCAGCCCTTGTGAATCCCCTGTCCCAGCAGGCAGCACCCCCTCCAGGTCTGGCTCAGCCAGATTGAC